TCCTTTGATGGACAGCTATGAAATTTCGACCATGTGCACAGATTATGTGTAAAATTTCAGTTGATATTAAATGACCTAGATATTGACGTAGTTACCTTCTTCCTTGTTTAGGATGTACCGTTCTCAAATAAGAACAATGTATATAGTATAATTAAAAAAATAGTTTGCATTAAGTTTGTTCAAGCTACCAACATGTTTCAATTTTGTTTGTTGTAATCGCTAGCTTTTACTGCTTTCACACAAACAACAGTCTATCCTCAGGTGAGCGCTTTTGGGCCAGTTGCCCTCATGTTTAAATGGTGTGAACAAATACATTTGTTATCAGGTGTCTTGTATGCAACCTTAACGTGATCAACAAACTGCATAAATAGTGTCACTGTCATTTATTAACTATTTTCAACTTAAGGTAGGAGGTATATTTCTTACTCTTGAGGAAGGGCATTTCATGGATGTTCAAGTCCTGCAAATCTTCTTCAACCGATTTATTTTCGGGTTATGAAATATTAAAGAAATCTACATTTGAAAAAATTGGTACAAAGTAATGCAACTTAAAGCCTTTTTTCTTGCCTGTTTATTATAAACCGCCATTAACCCTGCAGCAATAAATAAGAATTGTCGAATTCAATAGGAACAATTTTTTGTCGTACAATAATAATTGCATACAATTCTGGGGAAAGTGTGATTCTTCTGAAGCATTAATCACAACAAAATTAAATGAAAATTGCAGTTTAGGTTTACTTTAGTCCATACATGAATTATAATGTAAAAGTGCAATATCCCTCACACTCAGCACAAGCCTTAAGTGTACTCAACTTTCAACACTTTAAAGTGCTGAGATCATGATCCCGGAGGACCAGAAAAAATATAGCCACATTGAAGTAAAGTAAGGGGCAATTGGTGAAACAACTAAAAGTTCCAAGTAGAGAATTAAGTAAGACGTCATGAGGGGTAAACGAAACATTATCAGTCATCTGAAACATGAATACATTATATCGATATTGCCTGCCATAACTATATTTAACAATATCTGTCAGCATAGTTCTGTTGAATTATTTCAAAACATACATATAGATATCTATGGACAATATTTGTCCCAAGTTATATTAAAAATATCCTACATGCATGTAGAATTTTTTGTTTGTTTGTTTTGGGTTTTACGTCACATCGACACAGTATAGGTCATATCGCGACGTTCCAGCTTTACTGGTGGAGGAAGACCCCAGGTGCCCTTCCGTGCATTATTTCAGGCACGAACGGGCACCTGAGAAGAACCACCGACGTTCCGTAAGCTAGCAGGATAGCTTCCTCACAATGCATGTAGAAGAAGGTACGATAAGGACATATGTTTTGCACTGAACCCAAAGTGGGACCTTGATCTTTGAGCGGCGGGCTGTGTTTTGTGTGCATCACACCACCCCATCATGCTGAACATTTGCACCAAATTATTTTGTAATCCTTCATGAGTGAGCAAGAACGAACGCACGGACAGACGGATAACGCACATACACCGAACTATACGCCAAAAGTCACGACTAAGTCGAGCTTACCGCAGGCGAGCTCGACAAAAATGAAAAGAATGCGTAATTTATTTTGTCAATATAAATTTGTAATCAAATGTTCATGTGTAAACAAGTTTACCTACTACACACACTGGTAGATTTTCTGTACACTAAATTTCAGTTAAATTAGGCGTCATGGACTGACAGAATGAAGACAAAAACAGTTAAATGGGTAAAACCGTTCGCGCCGAATACATTAGGATGGAAAGGAGACAATTTTAAAAAATTCATTTCTCAAGATGTCAACCCTGAAAACTTCCTGGTAGTCGTAAGATGCCCCGTACTTCACTTCAGTGTTGTTATATTTTTCGGGTCCTTCGGGATCATTGATGTCAGCACTATTAAGTATTGAGAATTGAGTACCGCTCAGGCCGGTGCCAGAGATGTGAGGGATATTACACGTTTTCAGTATCATGTACAGACCCAATCAAATCGAGTCTGCAAATCGATTGTAATTTTGTTGTGATTAATGCTTCCAAGGGATCACTTTGATTCAAAAACTTTATGCTTCACAACAGAAGATGTCAAGTGCTTCGTGGCAGCTGTAAAAAGTTGCCCCGTACTTCACTGCAATGTTGTTATATTTTTCTGGTTCTTCGGGATCATTGATGCCAGGACTATTAAGTGTTGAGAACTGAGTACCGCTCAAGCCGGTGCTGGGGGCGTGAGTGATGGTGCACGTTTTCAGCAGCCCTCATGTACAGACTCAATCAAACTTTATCTGCAATTCTCTCGTAATTTTGTTGTGATTAAATTATAAATGCTTCCGAGGGATGAATTTGTTTCAATATTTTTTTTCCTGTTTGCGATGTTTTGCATGATAAATTAATGTTCCATGTGCTCCTCTTTCTTCCGCTTAGATGAGGCGTTCAATGGAAGTAATATTCATTGACAAATTTACTGACCATTTGTACAATGAAGAACAATACTGAAACTCGAAGATATACTTTATGTCGCATATAACTTGATATAGCTGCGTAAATACACGGACTTCTGTTCATTTCAAAGCGCACGGTATTTGTGCTAATTCTCTGCAATTTTTTGTTATAATTATAAATGCATTCGAGTAACAGAATTTGTTTCCAGGAGTTCTCTAAGCAACACAATTTTTCAGTGTCTGCCACAATTCAAAAAAATAATATTATTCTTCAGCTTTTTGAAAGTGGACAGAAAGATAACAAAAATGAATTTCGGCAGTGGATGCATACTTTAGATGTTTGAAATAGACACCATTCTCAAACAAGAGCACGCACCGCTAGGCGGAGCATTATATGCCCGAAAGTGCTTTTTTTAATAAGGATGAAGCATTTGTAAGACATTACATAAATTAAAAAGTATTACCTCCTTCAAACAGCAATCCTCCTATAAAGTTTGAATATTGTGTGCCAAATGGAACTAAAGTTATGCTCTGGAAACTGTTTTCAGTTTTGATGTAATAGTGACCTTGAACTTGACCTTGTGACCTAAAAATCAATAAGGATGTTCTACCCAATATGGACAATCATCCTGTGAAGTTTGAACACTATGGACCAAATAGAAATAAAGCTGTGTTATAGAAATTGTTTTCAGTTTTAAAGAAATACTTACCTTGACTTTTGACCTTGTGACCCCAAAATCAATATGGGTCTTTTACCCAATAGGACAATCATCCTATGAAGTTTGAATATTGTGAGTCAAATAGACCTCAAGTTATGCTCCGGAAACTGTTTTCAGATTTGAAGTAATAGTGACATTAGCCTTTGACCTTGTGACCCCAAAATCAATAGGGGTCTTCTACCCAATATGTACAATCATCCTATGAAGTTTGAATATTTTGGGCCACATGGAACTTAAGTTATGCTCCGGAAACTGTTTTCAGTTTTAAAGTAATAGTGACCTAGACCTTTGACCTTGTGACCCCAAAATCAATAGGGGTCTTTTTCCCAATATGGACAATAATCCCATGCAGTTTGAATATTGTGGGCCAAATAGATCTTTAATTATGCTCCGGAAACTGTTTTCAGTTTTAAAGTAATAGTGACCTTGACCTTTGACCTTGTGACCCCAAAATCAATAGGGTTCTTCTAACAAATATGGAAAATTATTCTATGAACTTTGATTATTGTGGGACACATGGAACTTTAGTTATTCTCCGGAAACTGTTTTTAGATTTAAAGTAATAATGACATTGACCTTTGAACTTGTGACCCCAAAATAAATGTCCAATATGGACAATCATCCTATGAAGTTTGAATATTGTGGGCAAAACGGAACTTAAGTTATGCTCCGGAAACTGTTTTCAGTTTTTAGGTGATAGTGACCTTGACCTTTGACCTTGTGACCCAAAAATCAATAGGTGTCTTTTACCCAATATGGACAATCATCTTATGAAGTATGAATATTGTTGGTCAAATGGAACTTAAGTTAATGTTCGGAAACCAAATTGCTAACGGACGGATAGATAGATAGACAGCCAGACAGGCGGATACCAGGGGGTATAACATAATATGCCCGAAATTCTTTCGGGCATATAAAAACTTAACAGTTACAAGTGTTGACCCAGTGACAGAACCTATTAAATGACCCTCGCCATTATTGTTTCCTAACACGCGGCTCAAAAATAATGTCGGATAAGTAGTCAATCATTTGCGGAGAAAATCAGAACTACTTTTATTCATGAAAGCTAGATAGGTGGAGATAGAACCAAGATATAACCAAATAAACTATTTTTAAAGTTTGAAATGGCAAGTTAGTAGATATCTACCATGATAGTACTTTTATTGTTCCAGCACACATTTACAAAAGTAAAACAAACAAGAAAATGCATTGGAAACACATTCATTTTATCACAAGTATATATTATATAAACTATCACTCTATGCTACAAAAGATGTGATATTTACAGCAAAATCATAATTGTATCTTAAAGTTATACAACAAAATGTTTCAATCAAAGATACAATATTTTATTACCTTATTTGAGCTGATTAAAGAGTAAAGAAGTGTAGTTACATTTTACTGACTTTGAAAGGTTATTTGCTTCAACTTTTTCAAACAATTGCTCCTTCATCAGGAGAATTTGACATACAACCATGTTCACTTTATATTACTTACTGTAACACATATGTATGAACTATTAGCAATCTTGATATCCAAAACAATTTTGTTTAAAACCAAAGTCGGTTTTAAAGTGACACAATAAAACTATCATCCCAGGGAAATGCTGATGGTTTCAGAATTTTACGAGGGATCATATCTTAACTGTTTCTCACAAACTATGTGTTTTTTTTTTCATTCTATTTCCCCGAAAAAAGTACCGAATTTTAAAAACCCAAAGTTTAAAAAAAGAACATGCATTTAACGATTTACAATGCACATGAACTCCAAAGTTCACTTTTATTTTAAAATTTTTAAATATATTTAATGTTTTTTTGTTATTATTATTTAAATAAAATATTAATGATTGTTCTAACTTCAGAGACAAAAACATATCATCCTGATCAGACAAATGGGAATTTAAACAAATGAAATGGAACCATCGGTAATATTTATCATAATGTTTGTATTTACATTTCTTTATAGATAACGCATAATATATAGTTGAAAAATAATTGTTATTACTTATTTTTGCCTTATTGATATGCTTGTTTTACTGATTTCTGAATTATCCAAACGGAATGTCATGGTATTTCCAAGTAAAAAAGCGGACAAAGTTGCACAAAATGAAATATCAAATCGAAATTTGAAATTAATTCATAGGAAAGCAAACCTCAAAAACTATTCTAATAATTGTTACAGAAGAGCTGTGATGTCACTAGAGGGCATGAACACTACCTTTCTCATTTATTATTACTTGAACAAGCTTCGCCCATCGCATTGAATGCCATAATTAAAAGGGAAGAGACAAAATGTGGAAAAAATATTGGTATTGTGCTAAATGAGAATAGAGATGCGTTTAAAATCCAGTACGAAACAGAGTTTCTTCAATTAATTCAAGAAGATGATGTCAATGACGACATTGATACGTGGGACACACTTCAATTATGTGCTGTGACATTAGTTTTGTTTAAATCTGATCTAACTGAACCAGAAGTTAAAGCCATTCAATGTATATATGATCAGAGGAAAGATATTGAGCAATACACCGAACGTGCCTCCCTAACATTCAATACATACAACGAGAAACAACATTTATTGCACGATCAATTGCTCGAGTTGATAACGCTCATAGACGACAAAGCTAATCTTGAGTGTAAACGTATGATGTTTTCATTTGAATCAAAATCAATGAAATTAAGCGAAACACAGATAGACCAACTAACACAGACAAATGATATCAAAACTCATATCAAAATTGCAATTGATGTAGATATCATTGGCGAAGTGAACCACCAAAAGTTCCAGTCCAATGGTAGGTATTTGTGTTACAGTATGAATTTAATTTTATTCATATGGCTATCTTGTATCCAAATACATTACTTCATGAACATGTTTGTATGCAAGTTTTCAAATAGTATTAATCTTTAGCTATAGCGATATAATTGATTTAGAAAACCAGGATCGAATATTAAATTAAGTGAGCATTCATGTGTGTATATTCTAAATTTCTATTAAGCATGAGTCAAACTGATACAATACATGGTCGGTCAAATGATATATAATACAATTATATGCTGTATGCAAAGTATAATCGTATTCAATTTGATAACAAGTAAAATGGTTTCCTTTGGTGAACATTTTAATGATATAAATTTATTTCATTTAACTATTTTCAACATTATTTGGGGGGGGTATAAATAAATGTTTGTAACAGGAATATAGTTGACAATAATCGAACAATATAGAAGAAGGTCTTTGGAAACTGCATGTGACCGTTGAAGACCGGAGAAGGTCGAACATAAAACAATTATTTCTTTTTAAGAAAATGATTAAATATGCCTACCATTTTATGAATAATTCCGAGCAAAAAATAAATAATGTAAACACACAAATTTACGCAGAAAATATCTCTTTTTATTATGGCAGATGCCACTACGAATATTTTCATTTTGCAGATTTTCAGTATAAACAATTTATTGTTTGTAAAATTTGAGATAGATATTAAAGAAACATTGATAATTTTCAAACACATCATTCAAGTTTTTTCCACCTTAACGGTAAAATAATTATAGAAAATTAGAAATATCACGTAATAGATTTTTGTTCTCAATTAGGTGTAATTCGGACTTATTCCCTACAAGTAAATCCGTAACGTACCGGCAAACGGTATTTAGCTGGGTTTTCGAAAAGGTCAATTAACCAATCATATACGGTTTACAGATCACATGCTCCTCCATGTACCGAAAACAGGTCACGTGCTCCTCCATGCCTCAAAAGTAAAACGCGTACCAATACCCTGCGGTCTCCAGACCGCAGGGAATGACACGAGCAGTATAACGCCTCGGGTAACAGTATTTTTACGAGGAAAGATAATTATACTGTTTCTCACAATACCATTTGTTATTTATTCTATTACCCCGAACGAATACTGCAATGATCAACTTCAACTAAAGCTACCTGTAACAAAATTGAACCAGGATTAAAAATAACTCAAATGTCCCTGCCTTACAAGTTGTAAAATGACTTAAAACGTTATAATTTCTTTCTTAAATTTTTTAAGTGAATGATGATTGAGGATATCTACCAGTCACAAACATACAATAAGCTGTGTTTCATTTCCATTTCGATACCATCCTACATCTGTCTACCACAACTGTCATGTTTCATTGATTAAATTCATTTTTTGCAGCTTTTATCATCTGCTCGTTCCATTTTGACAAATAGTTAATCCAATGCAATTACTTCCTAAGAAAACGAATTTTATTTATTTTTTTATTCAATAATTCAAACAAAAGACAATTAAGGAGCGAAATACTTTCAAGATTGAAACAACTAAAATTTCTGTCTTTCAATAGATTATTTGGTAATGGCCCTTTGTGGTGAATAATTGAAAAATAAGAGGTCGATTGGCTGCTATTTTTGTTTTAGAAAATAAACCAAGTGACCAGATTTTATACTCTTGAAATGTACTATTTCCTATGTAACAGTACACATTTCTTATTTATGTAGTTCACTTGCATTGACTGTATGAATAACTCCATACTTACAAAATAAAATTTCCAAAAAATGAGGGT